AAAAATTATGCGCTTTTCACACGCGCAGCCTCAGATTCAGTCGCATCAGCAGCACTTGCCCGTGTTATTGCCGCTATTGCTGCCACGGTGGGGGCGGTGGGGGCTAGCATGGTAGGGGGGTGGAAGGGGTTGTGTAGTCGTCTTCAAGACGTGTGACAACGTGCCCCGCGACTCAGTTTGGAAAACTTTTTCACGTAGAACCGGTCGCCCGTTTCGTGCATCTCTCAGGTTTTTGCTTTAGTTTCGAGCGCGGCGCATGCGCAAAAATTCACGTACCCGACCGAGCAGCGGGCCGTTTGGGGGGAATTGGCTAAGGGAGTGGAGGCGGCCGGAAAACTGCTTAAAAGCAGCTGGCTTGAAAGCAGCTGCTGCGATGCGGCACATTGAAGCGAGGTACAAATAAAGTGTATATAAATTAAAAGAAAGCAATTGAAATTAAGGGAATTATATGGTATGGCTAGGCTGAAGCATAAAGATGTTCAAACTTTAAGATAATTGTAACAATTTATTGTTAATATTAGCAATAATTTTATTAACAATAAATGGTATTTTTTCATTGTCACTTGCCAAAAGCAGCTGAAGCGAAGCCCGAAACGAACAAAAAGACTTTTCAAAAATGGCTTGGTTTATATAATATTAACTATCTATTTTTTATATTTTGTTATTTTTATTACTATTACTAAGATTATTAACATCATTATTTTTTATATATTTTAAAGTAATTATGAGTTGTTGTGATTAATATTTTTTGCATTAACATTTATATCTCTTATTTTGTTTTGTTGTAACTATTTCTTCCTTGCAAGAGTTCTTTCTTTTATTATCATGATTATTATTATATTCTTGTATTTGTTTTTATTATTTTAATTTATTTTATTATTATTATTTTTATTATTATTTATTTTATTATTAGTGTATTTATTTATTAAATTATTTACTATCATTTCTATTATTTATTTCTAATATTATTATGTATAGGGATAAAAAGTATTAAAAAAAAACCTTAAGAACAGTTTCACTCTTTTTGGACTAATTGGTCTCCCAAGAAGCTCAGCTACCAATTCTGTTATCAAAATGTGGCTTATAAAATTTATTACTACGAAAGGAAGTTAGTTTAAAGATGCGTTTTTTTTTTTTTGCTAATTTGGCCACACTGTGCAGGCGACACATTGTGAACTTGAGTGTTGAAAATGTAAATTAAAACAAAAGTAAAAGTTGTTGTTGTTGTTGTTGCTGCTCGTTGTTTCTAAGCATTTTCTATTGTTGTTGAATTTTTTCGGTTTTCTTTTGTGGCCATTTCTTTTTGGGGTCAAATGCGAACACCGGGGTGTGTGTGCGTATGTGCGCATGTGTGTGGCACAGACGCACCCGCCCTTTGGTAATTAAGATCTTGGTGGCCGGCCCAAGTGACGCCAATTAAGATATATTTTAATGGGCCGCTGGGCAGATTAGAGGCTCCTCCAACTGACCTATTGGAAAGAGTTTTTTTTTTTTTTTTGAAACGCGTTTCTTTAGATTTACGTGAACAAGGTATATTTATTATTTGGCAGATATTTTTTTGTGGCTGCAGCGAACCGCAAATTGAGTTATGCAAGTTCTGCAAGTAAACTAAAGGAAATGCCGAAAATAGTTGCTTGTTGGTTTTTCATTTAGTTGAGGTCTGTGGGAAAACTTTGGGCTTGGACAGACAGGCCTCAATTATGAAGCCGGACGAGTCGAGTCAAGACGAGTCACATAAATAACTGACACTCTTTGTAAGTTGTTAAAATTGAAGTGAAATTGCAACTGATTATTTGAATTGTTTTTTTTTTCGTTTTTCGTTTTTCGTTTTTTGTTTTTCATTTTTGGTTTTTCGTTTTTTCCTCGCTGCCTGCTGGGGCCATAAAAACGGGCATAATGAGAAAAGTCAAAGAGCCGCAAAGCCGCATAATAATATTTGAGTTATAATTAAATGGCGAGTCGCTAGAGCGCTTATTAATAATATAAACCAGATTATGACATTATTATAGTATTGTTTATTGTTTCGCATTCGCATCTTCATCTGCATTCGCTCTCTGTCGTTAATTTCAAGATATCTGCTTGAGCACCATCTTAATTGGCCGCGTCTTAAATCAAAAGCGTGTCAACTGAACGCATTAATAATCTCATATAAGTCTCTCCCTCCCTCTCTCTCTCTCTCTCTCTCTCTCTCTCTCTTTCTTGCTCTTCACACAAGTGAACAGGAATATGTAACACGTAACGTATGCGTAATTTACGCTTCTGCTTTACAAAAAACTACACACAACTACATGATTATCTAATCCAACGGTGACAATTTGCGCACAATAATTCATTTGGAGATTGAGACATTGGCAAATGAGTGCAAGAAATCTGGTTGATTCGTTTCTGGGATATGCAAATGATGGTAACAAAAAAGTTAAATGTCTTTCTCACTTGGTTTTCCAATTAGAAGCTGTATGGAAATTAGTTTGATATTGATAATGGAAGTTGACAACTAAACGGAAATAATATTTTACTTCTCAAGCTTTGAGAAAGTTTCCTCAAAGTTGCACTCAAAACTTAGTAATCATTTAATTGATTTGCCATTGACATTAGTTTCTCAATTAATTGCAATGTCCTGCCAAAATTGACATCAGGTTGATAAATTTAGCATGAGCTTTAGCAACAGCGACTCTTAAAATACTTTGCGATTGCTTTGTGTATAGCATGTTCCTGGTAAATTTGGCATGCAGTTAGAAAGTAAGGCAGCTTGCGATTTCCTGTTAAATGTAAGTCTTAAAACTAATTCATACTTCTGGGCAGGACAATATATCCTCAATGGGGATGGCAATTTTTTTGTATTTAGCATGCAGATTGAAAACAACGGCAGCCTGCTATTGTTAAATATAAAAAAGACGAGCCATAAACTACATTTCTAACACATACACATCAATCATTCGAAAGCACATCTAATTGATATATTGTTGGGTCTGCAGATCAATCAAAGAACGAATGGGCCAACTGTTGACTCTTTGGAGGCCAATGAAAGTTGCTAGAGGGCAATGTCAATTGGCAATAAGCTCTAATATCGCCTCCAATAGCGATTCCCATGAAGCTCTTTAGCTTTATCAGCGGCACTGGCAATCGGGCGATCTGCCAATGTGCATGCCAATTACGCATTTTTGCTTTGGGCTTACGCTTTTATTTTTATTTTAGCTTAAGAGAGAGAGACAGAAACAGAGACAGGCTGCCAGTCAGCTAGAGAAATGAAAGATCGATTCAGCTTTTTGGCATGCGAAAAGCGCAACAAACGCGTCTGGTGGTTACATAAAAGCCGAACAGCAATGCCCAAAAATTATGTGTTTAAATATATTACATTGGTATTGGCCATTGTTAAAGTTAATGTTATTGTTTTTGGCCCGGTCGCGGTTCGATGGGGCTCACCAAGGGTGATCGGTGCGGATCGGTGCGGTTCGGTTCAGTATTGTTTGGTTACCTTTGCGTGCGTAACAGGTGCGCCGGCCAGTGCATTTCAATTGAAAAGTGAAACACAAATTTTGGAAGAGCACCAAACCGAGTGCTACATGTGTACAGCACTATTTTTGGGGGAGCGGGAGTACGCGACACGCATAGCATATGCCATATTATATAGCTCTTCCAAATTATGGATAATACGTATCTATATGCCACGTAATTGTAGCACTGTAATAAAATGTGCTCAAATTTGATTGTGCAATTGTTGCATTGCATTTCATTACTCTAAATGGCTTTTCGGGGATGACCGATGGCCAAACACATCGGATTGCCTCTAGAAGCGAGTGTCATTGACTGCTTAATGCGACCAAAGATCCGCACGGGCCACAATTATATAATCGCCTGATGATGGCACTTTAATTGACTGAGGCTCGCTGACTGTCAGCGTGACGCGTCAGCTGGAACGTCATTGCCATGGATTTTCCATCTGGCTTAACTACCTCCGAGACAGGAATACGCAGACCAACCAAAAGAAAGACATACGGCGAGCCAGTGACAGAGAGAGAAAGAGAAAGAGAGAGAGAGAGAGAGGGAGAGGCAGACAGGCACTTGCTAGCCCGACGACGCATAAACGTGTTGATGTGATAATTCATTTAATTGCTAAATTCATGGCAAAAGCATTGGATAGTGGAAAGTGGTTGCATTTTTAGCCAACTGGCTAACCCTTTAATTAGCCATGCATTGTCATGATCACAAAACGATCCCAACTGCAAATTATGGGTGCCGCGTAAATGCTACAAATAGCCCACAGTCAGGCAAACTGTTCAAGTTAACAAGCCAGTTAAGAGGCGCCCAGGGGCGCGGTTAAATGAAGATGCCAACAAACTTGAATTGAATAAAGGCTAAGCCCGAGAAACCTACAAAGAGGCTGTAAAGATATAAGAGCCTTACAGCTAAAGAACTCATTATGTGAAGGACGCATGCAAGAATATAATAATAATAATAATTTGATCGAATCCCAGAATCTAGAGTTCCCAGGAGGTAACAATTAGACAAAAAGAAGAAGATCTTTGCAGAAAACAATCCTCAAGAAATCTGCTGTGCTCAACCAAGAAAAACATAAGAAAATGTTATAACATCAAGTTAGAGATTTTCACATCTAAGCGACTATATTTTTAGCTTTTTAATTCGTTTCATATCAAACTTAAGTCCTACTCTAAAATTGGTAATAAGATAACTTATATATTATATTATGGTATGCATATATGCTCAGTAGACCCGGAAAAGTGGAAAGTGATCGGGCTTGCGTGGCGATGGGGGGGGTCAACAGGCAGTGCCATAAGACCCACTTAGGCATGGGCTTGAACAAGCCCATGACATTCTACAGAGTCATCGCGAGCACTGAAAACCTGACCTAACCCTAGTCAAGAGTCGTAAACTTGCCAGCCATGTGAAAATTCTCGGTAAATGGGCAACCCAATGCGTCATTTGTTTTTATTTGCTATTGCTTTTGTCGGGCTGGCTGGTATTACCATTTCCACACTTACCATTTTCAGTGTCTGCGCCGTAGAGGCATACAAATTTTCCAGGAAAAGTCTAAAAGTGTTGTTTGCCGCTTGCCTTCGCCGCCTTCGAGAAATGCTGCGTTATCCAGTCGATGGGTCTGTCAGTTTATTTGATTGATCCTGCACAGCCGACAGGTAAAAAATGACGGCTGTGCGTGGGAATAACACTCGTTTTTTTCTTTTGTATTTTACGGTATATATGTGCCGATCACTTTGATGTACAAAAAAATATACTTTTTTAAAATGATCTCTGAAAGAATGCACGTAAGTAAAAAAAAAGGAAAAAAAAATATGCAGAAATATTTTGATGTTTAGTAAATTGTCGCACTTGATTTTGTTATCACTTTTGTTTTCGACATGCGGCACGAATTGATGCTCGATTATGCACACCCACGCCTATGTTTCTCGGGATCCCGTATCTTAAATATCGGATCTCGTATCACTCGACTGTATCTCGTTAACCGTTAGCCAAGCCAACCGATCGAAGCCAAAGACCAAAACAAACTGCACATGCGCGCAGGCGCCCACAAACTGAGCCGCGCGCATGGAAAATGCGGCAGGTAAAGCGGCAAACGCGACGTCTCACCGTGAGACTGCCGTGAGCAGCAGTGAGAAAGAGAAACAGCGGCACCGGGAGAGCAAGAGTGAGACGGAAACGCAGTCGAGTTGTGGATGTCGCTTGTCTCTAGCGCTACGTGAGCACTCGCGGGCGGTTTTTGCTCAAAGGCAACATGCAAAATGTTGCAAATATCTGTGACAACAGCAGCTGGATCTGGAACGTGAACGGGTACGGGAACGTGTACCGGAACGGGAACGGGAACGGGAACGGGAACTAGAACTCAAACTGTGGCATCCTTACAACACGTCTTAAACTGCTCTATGCGAATCCAGAGTTGCAAAAATATTCAAATTGCAACAGCAACAAAGGCTAACTTAAGATTATTTGTTTGTATAATTTTTCATTTTTATATGTTTTATTAGATTTGACAAGAATCAGATATCAGTACCGGCTATAACATTACAAGTAGCATAAATTTAGAAGCCACGCCTTGTTAAAGACTTGGGAACAATGTAAATTAAATAGATCTGCAGCCTAATTAGATTGGAGATTTTAATTTAAGAAGCGTGGGGAAACTTATTAACTGCCAAGTGTGATTAACACGTATTAAGAAAACTAAGAAGAACAGCTAATGGTGAGTGATACGATCAATAAAATGGTTCTGTGCCAAGTTTCGGCACGTTATAAACAGAGCTAAAAGATGAGTTTGCTGTACCTTAAACTGATGGGTTCCAAAATGTCTTTAATTGATTTACCTCTTGCAAAATAATATAAAATCTCTAAATATAAAACTGTTTGTCGTGAAATTTCACTCGCGCTCATATTCATTTCCAGGGATTTATATGAAAAACCATGTGACTTGCTTCACACTTTTTGTAGGATCCAAACTTCCTCGGTAGAAATTAGATTCAACGATTTTGTAGGCGAAGTTTTAAGGGTGCATATATGCATATGTATGCATGTTTGTTTTGTATATGTATATGCAAGCATGCCTGCATGCATGTATGAATGCATGTATGAAAACATGTCAGGATACCTACATACATGCACATATACATACAAACATGCCTAATCATATATACATATATATACGTATGCATTTTTGCATATAAAAGTATAGGCATACATACATATATAGGCATATATACATACATACGTACATACATGCATGCATACATACATATATATATATATAAATATATATATATATATATATATATATATATATATATATATGTATATATATATATATATATATATACATACACACCAAAAAACAACAACAAAAACTACCAAAAATAATTAAAAAAAAAAAAAAAAAAACAAGAACAAAAAATCACTACACTACACTATTGACAAGGCATAAAATCAGCAGAGCCTACTTGAACTCTTGAGAATCGAGGAGTAGAGCACTTGGTAGAAATATGTTTTATTTAAATTTGCAGCACAGCTACAAAAAAGCTTAGTCTGCGTTTGGTCTCAGAAAGCGAAGATGCATGCACACATTTATACATAAATGAATACATAGATGCATGCATACACTACACACACACATACGTACACACACCTAGTAAAAACACACACACATAATGCTTATAATAAATGGACATGAAATGAACCAGCTGCTTAGCTGCTCTAGGTTGGAGTTCTGGGGTATTAACCAGTCGCCCGCCAGGTAATGGGGCCAAAATTTCTTTAAAACAAACAGCTGCAATTGTTGTCTGCCTCATTTGCATGAGGTGGATCGCATAATTGTACAACATTTAAATGCCGATCTTGGTTGGCACATTTTTTTTCTCTCAAATAATTTGATGTTTGGGCAACAATAAAACCACGGCGACAAGATGAAAACAACGTGTAAATGCGCAAATTACATAACAAGTGCGAGCATGAGCAACATTCAAATAAAGATACAATTGTATCTGGCCATTTATCTCAGCTGCTGCCCCCCCTCAACATTTTGGGTCAGCAGTGGGCGCAGTTTGTGCGCCCAACAAAAATGATGATAATAATAAAAGAAAGGTTCGCACGAAATGTTTGTGATTTGTTTACTGTTGACTTGTTTGCTGGGTCAGCTGCGCAACACCTGCCCAAAGAAAGTGAGGAACAAAACCTCATCACTGTTAGATACAATGTCACATACAGCATATACAGTATACAGTATACAGTATACAGATGCCAGCCAGGTAGCAGCTAATGTCTAAAGATACATTCGCTTGCATATGAACGTTCGCTTAGGGCCAAATGGCACAGACAGTCCAGTCTCCGAGTGTGTTGCACGTAGCCCGTCTCATTTTTTGCGCTGCTCTAACGCTTATCACATCATCATCAGCACTAAGTAGCGGAGGAGGGGATGATACGGGGCCTGATACGTGCCTGGACTGCGTCCAAAAGCCGGCATGATTTTGCATTTGAAGCAACTGCCATCCGCCGTCCGCCGTCTGTCTGGGCTGCGGCTGGAGCTGGAGCTGGAAGTGAAGCTCGGCGTGCTTTAATTGTCGCCAGCGTTGAAATCATTTTAACGAGTTACGCGCATGCGCAATTGTCCAACCAAGCGACGGTTCCCGCTTCGTCTATGCCAGCTCAAAACCCGCCCCGCATCGCCCCGCCCCTTGCCCACCAGCCACCTGACTGCCTGAAGCCCCCTCCCCCCTGCTGCTGCTGCCTTATGCAATCGTCGGCGCCGCCAACTTTCACTCATTTGAGAATTCATCGAGTTGTGGCCGCCGTGCGATTTACTTGCATATTTATTGCGTTCATTGCAGATTTCTATGCATTCCATATGGCCCCTACCCCTCCCCCTGCCTTTCTAATGATTTTATAAATGCTTCCTCCTATTCAATACGTCCATTTCTTATTTATAAATATTCTTGATTAATTTATATTAAGAGACAACAGAAGAAAATTAAATACTCTTGTAAACATTTGGCTTCGAATTGCTTTCACATAAAAGACTTATTCCCAACCGATCTTTCCTAGAGAACTAAGTATTAATAAAGTATTCTGATTTCGATAAGATTTTGCTTACATGTTTAAAAAATACATAAGTCCAAATTATTTTCAATAACTTAATATATATACCAACTAAACAAGAATATACATATACTAGCGGGTATAGCCCGGCCTTGCCCGTGTCACGCATGTTATAAAATCAATGTTCTCAAAAAGCTTTGAAAATGATTTTGAAACTGAGCAAACAACTTTCATACAAACGTTTTACGCCATTTTACAACTGTTGCGAGTGGAATTTCTATTCTAAAGTAGAATTTTAAAAATAGGTTTAATGCAAATCGGTCACGACTTAAAATTCACAAAAAAAAATATTCAAAAATGCACTGTGAAACATGACTCAAATGATTGTTTGAGTAGATCCCCCAAAATAAATTTTAGGGCGAAACGTCAACCCACCAAATCTTTGATCCCCATTTCCACCATTTCCGTAACACCGTTCAAATCAATTTGAATAAATTTCTTTGAAAATGAGTTTAAGGCCGATCAAATAGTAATCAAAATATTTAAAAATTTAAATGCATTTGAGCGCGAAAAGTCACCCACCAAATCCCATTTCCTTCCCGAAACCCCGCCTTAACCGGCACCTTCATCACATAAGGTAACTACAGGGAACATTTCAGCTTCCTAACTCTTACTGTTTGGACTGTGCGTTGATCACCAATCAGTCAGTCAGTCAGTCAGGACAAACAGTTTTATATATAGAGATATGCTTCAGTACTGTAACACACATCGTGACAAAAGCAAAATACCCTCCACAAGGGTATATACAATGAACGAATTCCCATGCAACACCAATTCGCATATGTTGCGATTATTTTTTATAAGGCATTGCCCAGATAAGATTAGACTTGTTTTAAATTATTTAGAGTTATCTTAAATAAGCCTATATAAATATCTTTTTACCGCGAAAAATAATTACTAAAAACGCGTTTAGAGTACATTTCCTATCGTAAGTACGCGGCAATTACGAATTCTGATTCACAAGTTTTCTGATAATATTTATTGTAATTTTTTTTTCGTGCCGTTATGAGGCCTATTGCATTAATTTAATACTGAAATGTTATAAGAGACAGTATTAAATTTTTCAATTAAATTGAATTGTCTATAATTGCCCAGCTCAGGTCCACAGATCCACAGATAGCCCCAAAAGCACTACGTGGCTGGGTTCGAATATGATTCGAGTACGAGTAGCTTGTAATTAACGCTGAATGGGAGCCAATCGCTGTCTAATTGAGCACCTAAATATTGGAAGAACTTGAAGTGCCATTGATAAGGGAAGAGCGGTATCGAAAATTAAATTGCCTCCTTATCGACGTCATAAATATTTCCTATTCTAAACGAATTGATTTTTAGCCCAGTTCAGGTACAATGCGTGATATGCTATGCTTTTGCAATCAATTAACATCAATTAAACTAAAATTTATTTATAAGGAGAAAAAAAAAACAAAAAAAAAAATATTCCATAAGTATAGAACAAAGAATTTGGTATAGTTATGCATTGCTTAATAGTACACAGTGGGATATTTATTTCATCTCTAAAATTCTTCACTTATGCTCACTGCTCCGGAGTTGTTGGGTTGTTGCAATCGTAGCCCAGCTCGCAGTACCTCGAATCGGGATTGAACTGCATCCCTTCTGGGCAGTCTTGGGTTAAGGCAATTAAATCCCCCTCGTCATCCTCGTAGCATATTACATATTGATAACAGTTTCCATTCTTGGGCAGAAAGCCTGTTGTTGCGCAAACTTCCTTTACTGTGGTGCTCGTTCCAGGTTGTTCGGTGGTGGACGCATCAGTTGGCTCTGGCTCCTTGGTGGAACCGGGCGCATCAGTTGGTTCAGGCTCCTTAGTAGAACCGGGCGCATCAGTTGGCTCTGGCTCCTTGGTGGAACCGGGCGCATCAGTTGGCTCTGGCTCCTTGGTGGAACCGGGCGCATCAGTTGGTTCAGGCTCCTTAGTAGAACCGGGCGCATCAGTTGGCTCTGGCTCCTTGGTGGAACCGGGCGCATCAGTTGGCTCTGGCTCCTTGGTGGAACCGGGCGCATCAGTTGGTTCAGGCTCCTTGGTGGAACCGGGCGCATCAGTTGGCTCTGGCTCCTTGGTGGAACCGGGCGCATCAGTTGGCTCTGGCTCCTTGGTGGAACCGGGCGCATCAGTTGGCTCTGGCTCCTTGGTGGAACCGGGCGCATCAGTTGGCTCTGGCTCCTTGGTGGAACCGGGCGCATCAGTTGGCTCTGGCTCCTTGGTGGAACCGGGCGCATCAGTTGGCTCTGGCTCCTTGGTGGAACCGGGCGCATCAGTTGGCTCTGGCTCCTTGGTGGAACCGGGCGCATCAGTTGGCTCTGGCTCCTTGGTGGAACCGGGCGCATCAGTTGGCTCTGGCTCCTTGGTGGAACCGGGCGCATCAGTTGGCTCTGGCTCCTTGGTGGAACCGGGCGCATCAGTTGGCTCTGGCTCCTTGGTGGAACCGGGCGCATCAGTAGGCTCTGGCTCCTTGGTGGAACCGGGCGCATCAGTTGGCTCTGGCTCCTTGGTAGAAGCTGGGGCATCAGTGGAATCCTCAAAATTGCCTGGCGGTATTGTGGGATTCTCAATATCGCTGCCATCAGCTGCGACAGCATCCCGCGAACGCTCAACACATTTTGCCAGCACCGAGTTGAAGCTCATATTGTCCTGGCACCTCAAACGCCTCAATGAGTAACCACCATTGGGTGTTGGCTCGCAGGCAAAGTACTCCTGCGCATTATCCACGAGCGCAACGAATCCAGTGCGACTGCATGGATGGCTATCTCCGGCCTGGGCCGCTCCGCACAGCACCAGGCACATGGCGGCCAGTGCCAAGTGAATGTTCAACATATTCTCAGCTTACTGTAAAATGAGGTCCTTTTTAGACAATCTCTTTAGCGACTCGTTACTTGTTTCGACAGACTAACTGGACTGGGCTCTAGGCTCGGTTCTTTTATAGTCGGCCACAAACAACTTAATAACAAATTTCGTGATTGCGTCCGATTAGCTGATAAACGAGCCGCCGCTGCTGCTGGCCACAAGCCCATTTAGAGAGTGAATATTAAAGAATTTTAGTCTTTATTTATGCAATACAGAAAGAAAAAAAAAATTGTAGAATTTAAGAACCATAACCATATGAGACTACGCTATACACCAACATAGATTGTGAGTGGAATCTGGGCCGATTGGACTTAGAATTCGAAGCTTGGCTGCTCTGGGGACTCGGCGCTCTCCACGGACACGGGCTTGTTTGCCTTGGCGTCCTTTTTGGCCTGTTCCTTGGCCGCCTTCTTGGCCAGCTTCTCCTCCAGCTTTTGCTGCTTGCGCGCCAATTTCTCTTGATTCTTCTCGGCCTTCAGGCGCAGCTTTTCCTCCGCCTTCAATTCCTTTTGTTCACGTTTGATGGCCGCCAAATCGCTAGCTTCCAGCGCCTGTCCGGGCAATAATTGCGTCCAATCGTAACGCCAGCAGCGGCCTATCAAAGGCTCAAAACGCTGACCAACGGAGCAGCGCACAATGTACTTGTGGAAGCCACCGCGCAAATTCGGCACACAGTTATAGTAGTGGGTCTCATCGCTGCCGGCAAAGTGTCCGGGCCTCTGGCAAACGAACGCATCGTTGTCGCATTCCGCCAAATCTCGCATGCAGCGGCCATAGGTGGGCGAGAAGGCCAACAGTGGAGGGCATACCATATCATAGGACTTCAGCTCACCCGTCAGCAGGTTCAGCAGACAGTTGTGGAAGCGCTGACAGTCGCCGCTGATATCAGGGAATAGACCTACGGTCGGGCACTCAAATACAGGCGGTGCCGGTGGCGTTGGAGCAATGGTGGTTATAACTGGCTCTGCTTCCGTGGTTGTGGTGGGTAGCTCCTCGCTGGGTGTGGTGGTCGGTGGCTCCTCGCTGGGGCTTGAAGAGGACTGTTCCTCGCCGGGGCCTGATGTGGTCGACTGGCTCTCCCCGGGGCTTGAAGTGGACGGCTGCTCGCCGGGGCTTGAGGAAGACTGTTCCACGCCAGGACCTGAAGTGGACGGCTGCTCGCTGGGGCTTGAGGAAGACTGCTCCTCGCCGGGGCCTCCAGTGGTTGACTGTTCCTCGCCGGGGCCCGCAGTGGACTGTTCCTCATTGGGCGCAACTGTGGTCTCCTGCTCGGGCTCGTTGGGATTGAGCGTGGTGGCCGCATCCGCAGGCGCAGTAGTCTCTTCAGCTCCTTCTGTTGGTATATCCGCCCCAATTGTTGTTGTATCCAGCTCCTCTATGGGCTCTGTTGTTAGTTCCTCCGGCTGATCTGTGCTTCCAATCGTTACCTCCCAGCCGCTGCCTTCGCTGACTGTTGTTGTCTCGCTCCAGGCATCTGCTTGACCTGGCAACTGGGCATTGCCATCGCCACTGAGGGCCAGAATGCCGCAGGACTTGGTCATTAGCTGCAATTGACTAACTTTTAGATATCCATATCCTGAGCACACGGCCAAATGAGACTCACCAGGGCTGCGCAGAGCAGTAGCACCGAGGATGCTGTCGAGAACTTTCCACGCCTCGCTGTCATCGTTGTGGTTCTGGTTGTTTGGGTTGTTCTGGTTGTCGTCGTCGTCGTCATCGTGTTGCCGGTGGCTAACTTCGGTCGATCGTTGTATGAGCTACTGCCGTTACCCACACCCTATTATATAGCAGAAACTTGGCGCCGGATGCTGCGGCTTATCAACCCTAGCGCCTAATTGCCAACCTGGCCCTATCTCCATCTCCAGTCTGACTTAGTATATAGCGCAAATAAAACGTTGCTTGAACGTCATCAACCATGGCAAAATACAGTTGTAAAGCCATAAAATCAGCTGCTGCTGCTGCTGCTGCTGCTGCCACGCCCAGCACAGCTCTCAGTCCACGGATGTGAAACGGAAGTCTGTAAAGATATACTCAGTCTTGATAAGCTCCATTATAGGAGGTCAAGCGACAGACGTGTTCATGTTATATCTGGGGGAAATCTGTATCTGGATGAGCTCCGATCGGACAGGCGGGTACTTTTTGCCTATCTACCCCGGCCGCTCAACATTATTTATTGGCATGAACCTTGCCTGTTTGAGTGATAAAAGTAACAGAAAAATAAACAAGAAAAAAACAAGCATGAATCACTAAGATTGCATATATATTTGTGTTTTTTTTTTACTTTTACTTTCCATTCGAAACTTGTTCTTTTGCCGACTATGATATATATAGTGAGTAGAACGGAAAATTATAAATGAAAATCAAATTGTTTCATGTACACTTTGTGTATTTATATGAAAAGGCAATTCTTGAACCAAAACCTGGACTTATGGATGCGGAAAACACGGAGCTTAATACGTCATATCTCCCCGCGGAGCTATTATCCATTATACCGCGCGGAGCTATGTCGTTTTGGAACGTCATATCTCCCCGCGAAGCTATTATCCATCATACCGCGCGGAGTTATGTCGTTTTGGAACGTCATATATCCCCGCGGAGCTTTTATCCATCATACCGCGCGGAGCTATGTCGTTTTGGAACGTCATATCTCCCCGCGGAGCTTTTATCCATCATACCGCGCGGAGCTATGTCGTTTTGGAACGTCATATCTCCCCGCGAAGCTATTACCCATCATACCGCGCGGAGTTATGTCGTTTTGGAACGTCATATCTCCCCGCGGAGCTATTTCCATCCGAGCGGAGGGAGTTATGTCGTTTTGGAACGTCATATCTCTCCGCGGAGCTATTATCCATCATACCGCGCGGAGCTATGTCGTTTTGGAACGTCATATCTCCCGCGAAGCTATTACCCATCATACCGCGCGGAGCTATGTCGTTTTGGAACGTCATATCTCCCCGCGAAGCTATTACCCATCATACCGCGCGGAGTTATGTCGTTTTGGAACGTCATATCTCCCCGCGGAGCTATTACCCATCATACCGCGCGGAGTTATGTCGTTTTGGAACGTCATATCATATCTCCCCGCGGAGCTATTTCCATCCGAGCGGAGGGAGTTATGTCGTTTTGGAACGTCATATCTCCCCGCGGAGCTATTATCCATCATACCGCGCGGAGCTATGTCGTTTTGGAACGTCATATCTCCCCGCGGAGCTATTACCCATCATACCGCGCGGAGTTATCTCGTTTTGGAATGTCATATCTCCCCGCGAAGCTATTACCCATCATACCGCGCGGAGTTATGTCGTTTTGGAACGTCATATCTCCCCGCGGAGCTATTACCCATCATACCGCGCGGAGTTATGTCGTTTTGGAACGTCATATCATATCTCCCCGCGGAGCTATTTCCATCCGAGCGGAGGGAGTTATGTCGTTTTGGAACGTCATATCTCCCCGCGGAGCTATTACCCATCATACCGCGCGGAGTTATCTCGTTTTGGAATGTCATATCTCCCCGCGAAGCTATTACCCATCATACCGCGCGGAGTTATGTCGTTTTGGAACGTCATATCTCCCCGCGGAGCTATTATCCATCATACCGCGCGGAGCTATGTCGTTTTGGAACGTCATATCTCCCCGCGGAGCTATTACCCATCATACCGCGCGGAGCTATGTCGTTTTGGAACGTCATATCTCCCGCGAAGCTATTACCCATCATACCGCGCGGAGTTATGTCGTTTTGGAACGTCATATCTCCCCGCGGAGCTATTTCCATCCGAGCGGAGGGAGTTATGTCGTTTTGGAACGTCATATCTCCCCGCGGAGCTATTATCCATCATACCGCGCGGAGTTATGTCGTTTTGGAACGTCATATCTCCCCGCGGAGCTATTATCCATCATACCGCGCGGAGCTATGTCGTTTTGGAACGTCATATCTCCCCGCGGAGCTATTATCCATCATACCGCGCGGAGCTATGTCGTTTTGGACCGTCATATCTCCCGCGAAGCTATTACCCATCATACCGCGCGGAGTTATGTCGTTTTGGAACGTCATATCTCCCCGCGGAGCTATTTCCATCCGAGCGGAGGGAGTTATGTCGTTTTGGAACGTCATATCTCCCCGCGGAGCTATTATCCATCATACCGCGCGGAGCTATGTCGTTTTGGAACGTCATATCTCCCCGCGAAGCTATTACCCATCATACCGCGCGGAGTAATGTCGTTTTGGAACGTCATATCTCCCCGCGGAGCTATTTCCATCGAGCGGAGGGAGTTATGTCGTTTTGGACCGTCATATCTCCCGCGAAGCTATTACCCATCATACCGCGCGGAGTTATGTCGTTTTGGAACGTCATATCTCCCCGCGGAGCTATTATCCATCATACCGCGCGGAGCTATGTCGTTTTGGAACGTCATATCTCCCCGCGAAGCTATTACCCATCATACCGAGCGGAGTTATGTCGTTTTGGAACGTCATATCTCCCTGCGGAGCTATTACCCATCATACCGCGCGGAGTTATGTCGTTTTGGAACGTCATATCATATCTCCCCGCGGAGCTATTTCCATCCGAGCAGAGGGAGTTATGTCGTTTTGGAACGTCATATATCCCCGCGGAGCTATTATCCATCATACCGCGCGGAGCTATGTCGTTTTGGAACGTCATATCTCCCCGCGGAGCTATTATCCATCATACCGCGCGGAGCTATGTCGTTTTGGACCGTTATATCTCCCGCGAAGCTATTACCCATCATACCGCGCGGAGTTATGTCGTTTTGGAACGTCATATCTCCCCGCGGAGCTATTTCCATCCGAGCGGAGGGAGTTATGTCGTTTTGGAATGTCATATCTTCCCGCGGAGCTATTACCCATCATACCGCGTGGAGCTATGTCGTTTTGGAACGTCATATCTCCCCGCGAAGCTATTACCCGTCATACCGAGCGGAGTTATGTCGTTTTGGAACGTCATATCTCCCCGCGGAGCTATTACCCATCATACCGCGCGGAGCTATGTCGTTTTGGAACGTCATATCTCCCGCGAAGCTATTACCCATCATACCGCGCGGAGTTATGTCGTTTTGGAACGTCATATCTCCCCGCGGAGCTATTTCCATCCGAG